GGGACACTTCGCTAACGCTTGTAGGAAAAAGCAGTGGGATAAAAGGCAGAAAAGAGGTGGGTTTGCTGGCTTCAGGCCACAGATTAATGCTTTGCCACAAAGGCAACAAACAGAAAGACCGAATTACCCCACAAAGTGGACTCCCCGTTAGGGATGCCCACAGAGTTCAGAGCCCTTTCTTGATGAAGATTCCATGATTTCTGTTACATACCCGAATAAATCGTCTGTCTTACCTTTTCTTGAATTGAAAATTGACAGTAAACCGTATGTTTTCCTTTTGGACACTGGTGCCTCACGGTCATCTTTGTCCGGTAAAGTATACGAGGGCTCTATTACAGGGAAAACTATTAACTCTGTGGGAATTTCTGCTGTCCCTGTACGTTGTGAAATGACACCAACTTTATCGGTAACTTCTAAAGACAATCCTTCTTTGTTTAAGATGCACGCATTTGCAATAATACCTGATGCTCCATTTTGCCTTTTAGGTAGAGATTTGCTGCATAAATTGGGTGCTCATATTACATTTCAGAATAATTCTCTGCAACTCATGTTTCCTTCTGTCTATTCTCTGACTGTTGAGACAGGAAGTGCGACCACTGAGGCTGAGGCTGCAACTGCAGCCTTACCGGAAAAAGGGGATGTCAACCCTCGCTTGTGGGCGGAGCATAAGGATGATGCGGGCCTCATAGATGTCCGCCCTTATGCGGCTACTCTGACCAGACACACACCAGTTTATTGTAAACAATACCCTCTCTCCAAAGAAAAAATCGATGGGATTCGGCCTATTATAGAAAATTTGCTGGCACAAGGCATTCTGAACAAGACTCACTCACCCTACAATACACCGATCAATCCAATAAGAAAAGCGAATGGTTCCTGGCGATTGACACAGGATCTTAGAAAGATTAATGACATAATTAAACCATTGGCTCCTATTGTACCTGATGTGCACACAATACTGAATTCTATTCCTAGTTCACATGCCTATTTCACAGTTATTGATCTATGCTCTGCATTCTTTTCCATTCCTGTAGATCCTGTCTCGCAGCCGCTGTTCGCCTTCACCTTTGACCACGCTCAACTTAGCTGGTCTAGACTGCCTCAGGGCCCGAGAGATTCGCCGGCTGTGTTCGCCGCCGTAGTGCACGCAACGTT